TTGACGCCATGAATTTTATTTCTGAGCTTCCGCGGGCAGCTGTGCACTGCAATAGATTTTGATTGAGAGGTTTTTTTGGTCTTTACTTGCGAGACATTTCCCAGACTGTCATATATACTTTTAGATTATTTGGTTTTCCAAAATAATTATACGAAAAAAAAGGAGGAAAAATATGCAGATTAATTTATTGATATTTGCTGGTCTATATTATTAACCGGTCTTTTTAAACTTAAATTTATTTTTCGTTGTTGTTGGGTCCAATTTTTTTCTTCTTGGATGAATATTAAGGAACAAAGTTCGTACCGTGATCTGCCAAATGAACATCCTACAAGAAGTAAATTTTATAATAAAACGAGGAAACCCCATTGAGTGCATGCAAAAAAGACGCTAAAATGGGTTTCTAGCTTTGATTGAAAACCCATTTAGCTAAGCCTCTGTTGAATGAATACTTTAAATACAAAATAATGCGTTATAAAGGAGAATAAAGAAGGTCCTCTATTTGAGAAGAAACTTTTCAATTAGTAATAAGGTAAATAGACTAACCGAGGAGGACATTCAGTGCGCGTTTCAATCGACCTTGCACGGCCTTGTTTGAGGCGAACTTCTGTTCTAATTGTTGGCAAGCAATGGCGTGTAAAATAAGATTTATTACCTCCGAAAAATAAGTTGCTTACCTATTGTGGTAACAACTGTTCCAGCGAAGAAAAGTGAGCCAAGGATTGTCCATCGCTTCACCCAGTCTTGGCTAAAACCATGATCAACAATCTCTTCGATTTTGCTAATGAAGAGTTTCATATCATCATGAGAAATGTTGTACTTTGCTTGGAATTGATTTCGTGCCACAAGCATTGCCTCTCGTTCTTCTTCTTCATTTCGCAATTCTAATGCTTGAAAAATGACAGCTCCCAAGAAGATGTAAACCAAAAATACTGCTATCTGTATGACTAGATTTCTGGAGCCCTCTGCATGCCACATGGTCGATATTCGCACATTAAACAACTTTTCCTTCTTAATACCACTACAAAGGCTTTCCTGATCGACTTATCTTCATAGCTGTTCGCGCTTACGCGTCCTCAAGGCCATAAATCACAGATGAACCTGATGCTTTTTTGGTAGAAAACACTAAACTTAGCTCTCTAATTTCCTGCCAGAGTGCTACGTATGCAGTGCCATTCTTCTAAAGGTGTCTCCCAATAATTAAGCGTCCTACGGGGGCAGTTCAGGGACCTTGTATTCGATAGAATAGCGGAAATGTGAAGGTACAATGACTTGCGCCTTAGGCGTTATCTATAACTGCGTTCGTGAAGGTAAATTACCGGCCATCGGAACCCACTTACTACAAAGGACGCATGCGCGTACGTCCCACGCTAATTCAAAAAATGACATCAAATTTTTAATTTTCACCGCGCAAGGTGGTATTAAATATTCAATGTTTTAAATAACATGTTTATATTTTCTTGCAATTCAAAGCCTCCTAATCTATTTTCTCAATGAAATCCTGTCGCGAAACGAAGTTTCCCACTGTTTTTTTTCGGGGGGTCAAAAGTAGTGAAAACGGCGAAGTCGTTCGCGTTGGAAAGAGAACCTTTTGCACGCAGATTTGCTTCAGCTTATTTGAGTTGTGGTTTTGTGTACAGTCTAAACCCACTTAAAAAATGTTCGAATTTTGCCCCTAGGCATTGCATTAGTTTGTTCTCTGGTTTGTTCTAAAACTTTGTTTTCGCTGTCCATTTAATAGGGAGGCAGTAATCATAAAGCACATTTGATTTCTTCCTGACCTTAGAGTCAAAATTATTAAAGCCTGTAGACTCACAAACATCAAATTCGAACCTTATCTCGAACTGATCAAAGCAACATCGATACTTTATTAGTCATTCGGAAAAAGCCACAATCGCAATTTTATATTTAATGGTAGTTTTCACTTGGAAATGAAAAACAATAAAATGTGAATGATGTTTTTTTTTTAGGCAGTTGTGACTGATAAGCCAACTCTGAAAAAATCCGAGTTAATTCCCAACAGGAGTCGAACCTATGACCTCCTTGTTTGTAATTTGGATGCTCTACTCCTGATCTTCAGGAGACCCGTTGGGATTAAGGCCATTAAGCTGGGTTTAAAATATATATATAAATAAACCGCAGCCCATGAATTTAAAACTCATCTCTAGAGACCCACGCATCACGCATACATAATGAGGCTTCTGTTTACGGTGAAACTGTAAGAATAGCTTCTTTCAAAGAGTAGGCCCGTATTTCACCTAGAACAACCGAGGTAGCCGGTTGCCCCAGAAAATTTGAATTTTCTATTTGTATGCATATTGAAAAAAAAAACTAATAACAATGAAATAAAAAACTATAACAAAAAGAGTGGAAAAGACGGCTGCACACAGATTTACAAAGTGTATTACGTCTGCTCTGGCAACGGCCTTGAATTTACATTCTCTATTTTCCAATTGCCCATAATACACTCTGTTTGCCCCCCAAATTCTGCATAAACCATTGTTTTTAAATGCTCCTGGGAGTATTGCATTTTCCCAAGAGCATTTTAAGACAATAAGTTATGCAAAATTTGGGGGGCAAATAGAGTGTATTATGGGCAATTGGAAAATAGTCAATGGGAAAACCGGAAATTCGGGTTGGAAAATCAAACGGTCGCGGCATTTTGAGAAGCTTCAAAAAACATGGGCTATGATTTGAGGGGATGCAATTTTCTACTCTTTTCAGTCTGTTCAGCTGATTTGGATATACATTGTAGTGGGTTGTTCTTTCCACTGCGTCAAATTTTATAGTTTTACGGTTACGCGCAAGGTATCCAGCCGGTCCATCCGGGTGGTTTTTGTAAATGGTACTACGCACCCAGGTCTCTTTGGGTTTTTCCCCTTCTTTGGATATTTTCTCTTATGCTATCAGTGATGTTAGACTTGTGCGCTTAAAAACAGTAAATAAGCGATGAGGAGACATCTAGCCACATAAAGTTATTGTTTTCGTTAGAGTCGTCACATCTTCTTGTTTGTGTGTCAGCCTATCGAGTAATCATTTCAGATTGAAAATAAATCAGGTTTGTAAGATTTCAAAACATACATTAGGTGATAGAAATGGGTAGTGTTTCTAATTGGTTGAAGCAAATTTCAACCAATCAGAAGCACTACCCAGATCTGGGTACTAGTGACACGTCATCAGTATGGAATTTCTGCGCTCGTTTCCCAGACGTCATTTCGCGGGGAAGCAAGCGTTGGTGTCGCGAAATGTCGGCTATTTTCTGAGCCAGGCTAGGTGTTTTTCTGCAATTGAAAAAAACCACATTTTCCTGTCTTGTTATGTTTGTATGTTATTTAAACAAAGTGTAATTCCAGCTGAACTGAGTTGACATTTTTAAAAACACCCCAGGTATTTGGAGTAAAGTCGCTTAGATTTTACACATTGGCGCATCCCTTAAATGGTGCTAGAAACAATTATAACCGCGTCAGGATTAGCTCAGTCGATAGAGCGCTTGACTGCAGAGCGGGAGGTCGTGGTTTCGATTCCCGGGCCCGGAGCAATACTCAGGGTCTTAAAATAACTGAGAAATGAGGTACTTCATTGGCCCTGGGTTCAAACGGCTAGACCTTCGCGTGGCTCGAATGACCACGTAAAATGGCCGTCCCGTCCCCAGTAGGTGGCGTAAAAATTGTGTCCTCAATTAGTACTTTCGTGCCAAGTACTTTGACACTCAAATTAAGTGCATTTATTTTACAATCATGTCAGTTAGAGGCTAAGGAATCGTGGATTAAGATTCTCCACTTGGGTCAGGCCTACCTTACAAATTTTGTTAGATGTGAAGTGTTTGTCTTTTCAATTATTGCTTAATTCATGCAAACCAAATTTGTCATTTAAGAAAACATGACTGGCTTAGGATTTTTTGCGTTGTTTTAATTGGTCCCTATCTCTATGTACCGGCAACTAAAATGTAACTTTCCCTAGAGCTTTCCCTCATAACCTTCCCGGCCTTTTAGTGGCGAAATTTGCGGATTTGAATACTTAGTTTCCAAAAAAAAGAAAAAGAAAATCTTGAAATCGGTGTTTGCTATAAAACCTATTGAAGATTTCATCACTGATTTGAAAAAATATTAATAGTCAGGCGCGGATCTAGGATAAATACTGACCGTTGTCCAAAACGAGCCGGTGAATTTTTTTTTTTTGTTCACTCCCTAAAGTCATCTGAGTCATTCAGTCAGGATATTGGCCAGATTTTTTTTCAGGAAAAATTTATTTATCTATGAAAACTCTGACCGATTTTCGTAAAACGGTGGAAACCGGTGTGGATCCGCGCCTGATAGTAATTGTATCTTTTAACAAACAGACCAACGCAGCTAAGCCAAAGACAAAAGAAAATATAAAAACTCTAACAACTACTTTTAAAAAATAAAACCCGAGAGCCAAATGGTCAATTTGAAAGAAAAAACAAGCCTATAAACACCAAAACCACAAATTTTTAGATCAAAACCTAAAAAAGCGAGCTAAAAAAAATGAAGAAAACCGAAAAAATCGAAAATCATAGTGCTCCATGCAATAGTCTCTGTCTGCAATGGGACGGAACAATGCCTCGGGCTTAGCTCCCTGTGGGATGAAATAAGGCTATTTTTTTGCAAACTAACTCGCGATAGCCTGTTCCAGGGTTTCAGGTAATAGAGCGCGGAGTTCAGATGGTGTGGAGCGAGTTAAATCGTACGCGGGGAAATTAACGGGAAGAAAAAACGAGGAGAATCAAATTTTGGCCAGCGCTCTACCATCTGAACGGCTGGATCAGGCTAAACGCGCGGAAGTGTTACGTTCCAATTCGCTTCGCTCAAACAAACGTAAATTATTTTCCTCTTAAATGTAATAAATACAAAACAAACAACGCTATTTGATGGTTGGATGCTCCGGCATTCCAACCAACTGAGAAATAACAAAGTAAAGCAGATAAAGGAAAAATATTACCGCGAAAAAGCTGATTATCATTGTCAGGCTTGAAACGTTTCGAAGAACCCAGCTTTGACCTTTCAGGGTTTTTCCTCTTCTTTTCCGCTGCATTTTTCGCTTTCTTGAGGCGTTTCTCGCCTTCGGAGTTTGAGGGGAGGTCGTCTGACTAATATTCTTGAACACCCAACCAACCGTCCTTGCTGCAGTCCGCAATATTTATTAATTTCTGCCTCTTGTGAATAATCTGCTGAGCTTCCTGTACCTAGGTATTTACCTGACTTGGGTTGTCAGCGCTAGCCTTAATTCTGGCCGAGAAAAGACATTCTAGCTTGGCGTTAATTACCTCGAATTGTTTCCTGTTACTGAATTTGAATTCCGAGGCGGACCTCTGTATTTTTGACTGACCTTCGAAAAGTTTGCCTTGTGCCTCGAGTTTAGTTTCAAGATATCCTTTAAACAAAGAAACTACATCATCGACCAGCTCTGAATTTTGAGGTTTAGGGTTCGCTGACGGATCTTTAGGTTTCGATTCCTCTTCAACTGACTCGGCATCAGACATCTCTGCGGTAAACGCGTCGGAAAGTGGAATGCGAGAGAGAGAAAGAGCGCATTCTACGCGGACCAATTTATGGTGTAGATTAACCAATCAGAAGGTGCCAGAGAGCCCTGTAGAGAATTGCAACATACCAGCGGAAAAACATTTACAGTAAACAAGTGAAGATTTCTGGATAGTGTTTTTTTTGCGTTTTTCATATGTTCAAAGAAATGCGAAAAAAAAAACAAAAAAACGGGCCTATGAAAGAAAAAAGTTGGGTCGAAAAACATTTCTTATATGGCCGGAAAAAAAACTTTCTTCTCAATAGAATAAAACGGGTAGGGCAGGCCAATCTTTTTCCCGCGGTAGCCAATGAGAACACGCTTCATCTTCGAGCCATATAATTCAGTTACAAGATTTGACACGATCTGCACAATTATTCTTATCATACTTAGCCTCATTCAAAAACTGTAAATTAACTTACTATTGGTTACACAATACAAAAATTCAAGTATTTCGTGTAATTAAAACAAAGACTTTATTCTTAGGACTCCTAAAATAATTAGGCAATAAATAAAAATAGAGCAGTATTTTATGTACATTAGCAATTTCAATTATTTAAAGTGCATAGATAATTTATTTGTCTGACGTTGCCAGTTTGAAGGGTTTCAGTCGTCACCCTATCGTCGGTTGCCACGGCGTGATTGAAACATTTCCTGGCGTTTTGGTTTTATATCACCTTGTTTCTCTTGACATCTCAATTTCAACATCGTCAGTCTCCTCATCCTCACTTTCACTCGTGCTATACAGTGACTGAAAACCGAAGATGGCTTTATCCTCCATTATTTTTCGTATCGACAGGAGTACACTGGAATTCACAGCAAGTCCGAACGAAAACAGCAAAAAACAGAATAAAACAAACAAGGAGATTGAGAAGGAAGACCTTTCTGCTTCTTCAGAGTTGTAGTTGGGATGCATGGGCACATAGTCGCCAAATCCTATGGTGGTCAAGCTAATGAACGCAAAATAAATTCCTTCGAAGAATGTCCAGTTTTCGATGAACATTCCTATAATGGCGATAACTGTCATGACAAAAAAAGCTAAAGCAACAGCGACTAACAGACACAAAACGTTATACAACTTGTTTTCTGGTTTCAGTTCTCTGTTTTGTAACGAACGTCCAATGTGTTCCACAATGGTTCTCCCAAGGGAGGTTAGCATTAACCACGTGACTGGTATTCCAAATAAGGCGTAAATCATACAGAAGATGCGGCCCGGAAGAGTTTTCGGTGCGAAGTGGCCGTAACCTGTATGGAGGAGATAAAAAAGTGAGAGCAGTAAGTTAGTGCGTTCATGTAATGGACAAACCACTTCTTAACAATGATTTGCGCTCACTCTCGACGCCAAGTATTTCGACTTGTTTCGCAGTTCTCCCTGTTGAGCGAACTCTGTTGATTTGAACTTTTCACGTGGCAATGTTTATTTATTATGCTGTTCTATCCTTTCAGTCGCAGACTGAAATCCTTCTAATGGATGTGACACTCAAATGAAACCATTTAACACTGCTTTCCCTAGCCGCTACTTAGTGTTTTCTTTTTCAGAATAACAAAAAATGAAGTTTGTGATTCCGAGTCAAGTAATGTATAGGACATCACCTTGGCGAGTAATTGAGTGTGATCATGTTGCTCGCGTGTTACGTGTAAATGAATTTATGAAGTGAGAACGTTTAAGTATTAATTATCTTTACTATGATTATAAAATGTTCGTTTAAAATTTCAACGAACATTGTCATATTAATATTATTTTCTAATTCAAAACAAGTGACTCGCGACAGTACTTAGTTATCAAGAGTTTTCTATAGGGGAAATAGACGTTTGTAATGATAAAGAACTCGACAATTTAACAATTTCTGAAGGACAAATTGAAATAATTAATGTGGTGTTTTAAAGGCTGAATTGTTTTTGAAACATCGCACCTGTCAGCCGAAATAATGCACGCTATCCACCGTCGCTGTCGGTCGCTAATTTATTCTTCTCATATTACTATTAACATTTTGTTACAGAAAATGCCACGTATTTAATCGTTTTAGCTTATTTAGTAGAACGCGATTCAAATTCAAGAAAACGTCTTAAGGTCAATTGACAAAGTGCCAGGAAACCAGCCTATGTTAAAAAAAGTAGACTCTTCCCGAACGACCTTTTTTTTAAATACAAAGCGCTTAAAATATTTCATTATGAGCCCTCTCTTGCAAAAGTCGACATAAGGCAGTGCTACGATGGTCAAGGTTTCATGGACTCTAGCAGCTGGCGTTTTAACAACTTAAAAACGGCTCTGTACGACCACGACGTTGTGCCAATATACTCCTTAGATTTTTTCCTTCAGATGTTTGGTACTCAAACCGAACACATTGTCAATTTCCAGCTCGTTTTTTCTATTAATTAAGGGTACCATGTGTTACCTTCGTTTAACTGTCAATTTTAGCAACTGAACATCTTTGTTCTTTAAAGTTAAAAAAGGTGAGGTTTAAAGAAAAACGATGATTTAAGACTGATTTGAACGTAAGCGTTTTTTTTAAAATATGCTCTTTAGCCTGGTGGCATGAAAAATTATTTTATTACTTACTATATTTTAATTCTGTGTTCAAACCAAACAGTTTTTAGACAAACCCCGAAATAATGATTTTTCCTCGTTTTATGTACGTTTGGCATGAACACAGTGTTCATGAGTGTTACATGCGACTTGTGACCCTGAACGAAGAATACATGCTTTTTTTTAACTAAATAAATTCAAAACAAAAACCTTACCTATTGTTGTTATCACAGTTCCGGAGAAAAACAACGAACCCGTAAAGCTCCATTTTTCTAGCCATCCATTCGTATAACCCCAGCTCTCTGCTTCTATTATTGTGTTTACGAATTCCCTCATTTCATCGTCGCTTATATTGTACTTAACGAACATTCGATTGATTGCTTTCTTCGCCTTTGATATACCAAGTTGTTCGTTATGTGATTCGAGTACCTTAAAAACAACCATTCCTAATGCTAAATAAATCACGAAAAACGTTCCACGTACTATCAACCGCTTTGTTTCCTTTTTCATAGTAAACTTTCCTTAGTGTACTATGTTTTGTCGCGAGAAACTGAAAAAGCCGGCGGTTAAAAATACGTCTCGCGGTAACGTTGTGCTTTTGAATGGCGCGAAATCCTTTGTTTAACCTTATCCCAACTGATATCCAATCGCAGTGCAAAAAGGTTTTCATTGACTCATCAATGAATATTAATTATCTAGAGTTGAAATCAATACGTTAAAAGCTTTTTAAAAAGGAAGCGTCTTTTGAACGGGCTTACCCTGCGCCGTTCTTTATGTGCGTGGTGAAATTTGACGATTGTAGCATTCAAAGCTTACTAACAGGCGGCCTTAAAGAGTGAGATTAAAGTGCCAGTTACCATTAGGTATATTTGCGAGCTTTGACTTTACGTTTGTTTGCATGTTCTTAACAAATATATTTGTTTTTGTAGGTTTCGGGGAAGATAATTGTATGCAGTTCCTTGTAATTTTCGTTTAACTCATTAAGACAAAACCAATCGAATTTTAACACAGTGCACACTGTTGCGGATGATTATCTTCGTAACTGATAATTTTTTTGTGCAATTAAGTTATATAAAATCATACGTATGTTTTAAAAGGACGCGAAAACAGCATTAGATATTTTAATTGTGAAAAGCTATCGGTGTTAAAACGCCTCTCGTTATAGACTGTTAAAAATAGAGGGGCGTTTCTGTTCTTCAAACATTCAGGTCTATATTTCACATTGGTGGGTAAAGGTATGGAAGACGAAAAATGTCTCTCAAAAACCTAAAAATGTTTTAACAAGCGTTCATCCCTCTTCATCTTTTAGGAATTTTCTCTTCCCGCGCTTGCTTGGTAGCAAGTAATTTTTTTATTTTAGAAGTCTTCTGTGAAGAACACATTTTCCCCTCAATTTTCTAAAATTTATACGATTTTATTGACTAAGACTTTGCGTAACTATGTTTCTTAATTTTGGTTGATTTTGTGCAGCGCATCTTAGTTTTATTGTAACAGCGTTCTAAAAGACTTCTTGATGGGCTTTCAATTATTGTTACTAAGTGCTAACTGGTGAATATTGTCAGTAGCAACCAGAAAAATTTAACAGCTTCTTTTTAACACTGTCTTTCAGACTGGATAATGATTACTTAGAAACTGCTATCAGTGTGGCGCTTACTGTAAAATGTACGAGAAATTCAGATACCTTCCTTTAGTAAGCGCAGCAAGTGGGTTTTTTTTTTCGGTTACCTTATAACGAACTAGAAATTGACTCCAACCCTTAATGTTAAAACTCCCTTCTCGGCAGATTTCATCAATGTATGGAAATTATAGTGAGTTATGTATTCGTTATTGACCAACCGTAAGGTCCAGGTGGCTGGATTATGGCTAAGTTCTTTTTTTGGCACTTTTATAATTAGCACTGAATTATCGTATGGTTAACCATTAGCAAAACAGGGGAGTACTATATTGCCATACTCTATGAAATTTGAGAATTACGAGTGGAATGGGAAAGCTTTTTTGATCTTCCATATGTTGACTTGCTCCATCCCGAAAAAACCCTGCCTTAAAAGTCAGGGGCACCCAACGAGAATATAGTTCAAAACCACTTAAACATAGCATTGTTGAACGTATTTTAGTATTTAAACGGTAGATATAGGCATGTTTTTATCCCCTGAAAATTCTTCATCTGTTCGGATTTCCTAGCTGAAAGTCTAGTGATCTGAAAATTATAGGGATCAAAACTTATCTTTTCGAAAATTTCAGCCAGAAAAAGGTTCCCGAAAATTCTAGCTGACCTTTTTAAGGTAAAAATCCGTTAAAAATGGGCAATTATACCATTTTTTAGGTGTTCGAAAATCCTAGGAGAGGCAGGCAAGCAAGAAATTTTACACCAAATGTTCCGAAAATTCTAGATCTCTAGTCGTCTTCCGAACAGATATTTTCCGAAAATTGACGTTGGGTGCCCCTGAAAAGTTCCTGTATTTCTATTTTTAGGATACGCGGGCCGTTTCGAGGTAAAGGAGCGTCACATAAGCCTGTGTTTTTTTTAGACACCGAGGGTCTTTGCAGCTTCAAAATTTGAGAACCAGGTGTGCTAGCGCTAGTTCATATAAAATATGACCTTGCCTTAAAGTAGTACGAGAAATATTAGGGAGCTTAAGCAGCGACGTTTTTGAGCGACGGACGTCAACCGGAAGTGAGGTATTTTCCCTCTTAACATGCCTTGATGATATAAAATTTGTATTCCTTAGCTTCTTTACTGTTATAGAGGCGATTTGACTGAAAATTTGCGCGAAACCACCGTCAAAAAATGAAAAAAGGCCACTTCCGGTTGACGTGCGTCGCTCAAAAACGTTGATGCTTAAGCTCCCTATTATTTTTTATCGCGACCAGCTGACCAACTAGAATCAAGAAAAATACAATTCGGCAAGTTCTGTTTGTCGACTGAAATAGACACGGTACAACAATAGGTTCGGTTACTCTCACGATTGTAAAAGGAATTTCCTAGATTAACGAATCCGTGGTAAAGTTTAACGTCGGTTTAGTTTACCGTGGTAACATGTGGTTACTTGTGAATTAATTCCCAGGGTACTTTAGCCGCATTTACGGCTTCATTCATCATGGCAGTACGTATTTCATGTTATGTTAAAAATTTACCTATAATTTAGCTGAAATTTCAACTGGTATGTTAGTTCTGGACATTAAGTGAAGGTTCCTAGCATTTTTTTAAGTCTTGACCTTAGACTCCATTTTACAGTTCAGCTGCATCCCACTGATACATGCCATTACATATTTTGGGGAAAAATCTTCCCTAAATCTATATCCCAACAAACCAGTTCGAAATTTTGCCTTAAAATTTTCCTTTTACTTTTGTCTTATCGTGAAACCTGCCATGTCAACAACGGTCTTTCTTTCAACAGCGCGGAAAAAGCAAAAGGATTTTTTTTGCAGTTTCATTTTGGTGAAGAATGAAGAATCCTGATTGGCTCTCTTGCCTTGGGTATAGCCTGCGCGTGCGTGGCAGGCGTTCGAAAGCGAAGAGGAAGGGAGTTAGGGCGCGAGAAAAGGCGCGAGGGAGGAGGGAGGAGCGCCCGCCGCGCTCTCGCGCGCCCAAATTCCCCCTTCCCCTTCCCTTTTTAACGTCTGCCACGCAGGCTACCTTGGGTATCGAAAACCCCTGGCTTTTTACCACCTTACATTGGCCCGTTTCTTTCTTCTTTTTGACGTACTCATGCCAATTTCCCGCGGTAAAAGTTTCATGCACTTCGCTACAGACTGTTTCACATTCTTTCGACACAGTTTCGAAAAAGATTGTCTCATATGTGGGGAGCATTCGAATGGCATTACGCATAGGGGACAGTCTGCGTTTAAAGAATATGAGACGATGAAGAGTTAAAGCGTTGGATACCATCGTTTAATACAAAACTATGGACTGATCTGTTTCCAAAGTGTAGGGGATTGTTAGAGCTCAAAGAGTGTGGGTTGACCTCTTCCCCACAAGTTAGGGACGATCTGTGTCTGAGAGAGAAGTGAAGTCAGAGCTACACCGCGGTCAAACGCGCGTCCGAGGCGCTTTTACGGCAGTAACACGTCGAGTTTCAATTTTTAAACACTAAGAAAACTTTTTTAGTGGACTTTCACAACGTTACTCTGCTTAGCCTTTTCAAATTTGTCAGCGGCTCTTTGGACTGCGGTGAAAGTTGGATGGTCCCGTATGTTCAGTTTGTTCTTTCTCAAATGCATTTTCAGTATAACGCATCCTTGGAGATCTAGGACAGAAGTGCAGAATGTTATTTTATTTTTGAAATGTCCAACCAGGTCACCATTTAAGTTGAACCAAACAAAAAGGGGTCGGACCCAATCAAGGACTCATAAGAGACCTTTAGATTCTAAAACGAGGACGAGATTTTCTCAATACTAAGTCAGGAAATAAGTGTCGTCATTCTACTACGATTTAGCGAGAATGACCTATTGGAGGAATCAAGTTCTCAAATGTTTCCGAAGTTTCATCATTTTGTGATTTGGAGAGGGCTTAACCTCATTCAATAGGAAAATAACCGTGTTCACTTTTCTGGTGAAAGAAGTAAAGTGAAGCTTTCCAGTTTGTCGTTTTTTTCAGTTCAAATCGCGTCCTCCTTGTCGTCCGAGTCCTGGAATCTAAAGGTCTGTTCCTTAAACGAAAATTGCGCACGGTACATAGGCGCTGGATTCGCCTGTAAATTGATTGCTCCAGTACTATGCATTCGCCGCGACAATGTTATTTTGTTGGTATGAAAACTCACACACGCTCAGGTAAATTCATGTGTATTAACTTTGTCCGGACGTCGTAACCCTCTCTAGTTATTTCTTCGAATATGGACCCATTGAAGCCGGTCATTGTCTGACGAACTACTGTTACTGGCAGTTTTGGAGGGGCAGTAGAACAATATGGGCAAGATTGCACCAGGCATTTAGACCTCTTTCATAAGGGCGGCCTATTAAAATATTCTTTATATTTATGATAATTGGCCGTTCTGACCTCGTCAGCATGTACAAAATGCAAAGAATTGTAACTTTCAAACGAGGCCAGAAAGGCTCATTTATATCTGTGTGATTTTGATAAAAGGTGCCTGCTAAGTTTTCGCTTGAACACGGGCATCATCCGTGTTCAAGCCAGTGTAGCCGCAAAAAACCCAGGGGGCTTGCTGTCCTGCTAGGTGTCAGCTGAGAGCCCAGGCCCAGACCTATCCGTGTGTGGGTGGCTTCCTTGTTTCGAGTGAAAACCAGGGGGGTAGGGAGGGGAGATTTGTCACTTTGATTAGAGTTTTATGTCAGAAAGCAGTGCAAAGTCAGATAATTTTTCCTGTGGCCTAGGCCAGCCTTATCACTGCGGTGACTCATAATCATAACACTACTAGCAGAGCTTGGGGGAAGTGATTGACTAGTCCTAAGCTTCATGGGTGGGGAGGATGAGTAATGGCTCCTTGGAGTTGACCGTCTAGAGGCTAAGTACCTTATATGAAATCCAGACTGATATACATGTGAAAGAATAA